ACATTTGTGTGTTTTTGGGTTTCTAGCACCTTCCTTGTCCTAACTGCTCAAGCCCTAATCAGGAATGGTGCACTAGCCCTTTGAAGAGAGTTTCACTCCAATGTCTGCCTCTTTAATTTTGCAGACTATCCTACAAAAGCTTGACTCTATATTGATATTCAAATAAGCATGGCTACCTTTCCAGGAGCAGGCTGGCTGGAAGGGCAGTTGGGGGCTATCAGGCCAGCAGGGGGAGGCAATTAGGGGTGATCAGGCTGGAAGTGGGGGACATTTGGGGGCGATCAGGCCATACTAATAAAAGGGTAATATGCTAATTGGACCAGGAGTCCTTCCGGATGTCCTTCCAGAGAAAGCCATGGTGGCGGACGGGGCTAGGTTAGGGGCGATCAGGCAGGCAGGCAGGCAGGTGAGCAGTTAGGAGCCATTAGTTCTGGATTACGAGAGGGATGTACGACTGCCAGTTTAGGCCCGATCCTTGTGGGTTCCTGATTGGAGAGGGTGCAGGCCAGTCTGAGGGACACCCCCCCCCATGCAGGAATTTCATGCACCGGGCCACTAATCTATACTAAAAAAGGGTAATATGCTAATTAGACCAGGTCAACTGAACATCTTCTGGGCGTCCGTCTTCCTTCTGGACAGTTTAGGGGTGACCAGGCTGGCGGGGGCGGGGGGAGTTAGGGGGCAACCAGGTCGGCAGGGGGGAAGTTAGGGGGCAATGAGGCCAGCAGGGTCCAGTTAGGGGGCAATCAAGCTGGCAAGAAGAGGCAGTTAGGGGTGATCAGGCAGGCAGGTAGAGTGGTTAGGGGAGATCATGCGGTCCTGCAGGGAAGCAGTTAGGAGGTGACCAGGCCAGCAGAGGACCAGTTTGGGGGCTATCAGCCTGGCAAGCAGAGGCAGTTAGGGGAGATCAGGCAGGCAGGCAAGTGGTTAGGAGAAATCAGACAGGCAGGTAGAGTGGTTAGGGGCAATCAGGAAGGCAGGCAGGTGAGCGGTTAGGAGCCAGCAGTCCCAGATTGCGAGAGGGGTGTCTGACTGCCGGTTTAGGCCCCATCCAGCAGGGATCGAGCCTAAACCGGCAGTTGGACATCTCCCGAGGAGTCCCGGATTATAGAGAGTGCAGGTCGGACTAAGGGACCCCCCCCCCTGCCCGTGCATAAATTTTGTGCACTGGGCCTCTAGTTTTTTATATAAAATGGGTTTTATATAGCAAAGTTCCAAAGTCAACACTGTCCAACATTGGCAAGAAGCATAAAAATAAGGACAATCATTACTTTGAGAGAAAACCCACTACTTTGCATATGACACATAGCATTAGAAAGGCCCCTGGTGTGTAAAATATAAAACATAGTTGAAACAGCTGTGGAGCTGGAAAAGTACACTCCAGATGGCCTGCTGTTTGAAAATCTGCAGAGACTACAGAATTCCTCTTGTGAAATAGTAACTTCCATAAACTTTGTACTTGGTTACTAGAAACAAGCCTTTTCTGCCCTAGCTGCTTTGGCTTTGGGGTCAGAGCGTCAGCCAAGAAACTGAAGGGTTGTGGGTTTGATTCCGGCCAAGGGAACGTACCATGATTGCAGGGTTGATCCATGGCCCCAGTTGGGGTGCTTGAGGGAAGCAACCAATCAATGTGTCTCTCTCACATCAATGTTTCTCTCTGTGTGTCTCTCCCTGTCCCTTCTACTCTCTCTGAAATTCAATGGACAGAAAAAAAACGCAACAGGGGTAAGGAGTAACAAAAAATAAAAAAGAAAGAAACAAGATTTTTTCTGAATCCATGTGTCTGTGAATTCTACAAATGGCGATTCAACTTTCACCGAACACACTTTTCCAAAACTGTTCTGAATCCAGAGATTGATTGGTTGTACCATTTGGTTTCTCCCAGGATTGAGTCCTTCCTCATAGACCTTGGCTTGAAGTCATGTGCCTGCCACTAGAGGGCAGGAGAGCACTAGGCAGCTCAATCCCTAGCTCAGAACTCAGGTTTACTTTTTTTTCTTTTTCCAATGTTTACTTTTTCAATTCAATTGACTTCATTCCAATATAAACGTATTTCTTAAGCCTGTGTCTGTGTGCCAAGTCCTGTGCTAGGAGATGGGAAAGATACTGTCCCAGCCTCCAGGAGTTCACAGTCAAGAAACAAATACCTCTACTCATGACACAATATTCATCCATCTTTTCACTTGCTCATTCACCCACTGAGCACACTGTTGAATGTTCCATGTTCCTTGCACTGTCCAGGGCATGGGATGGTGAGGTATTCTTAAATAAAAGACTAATGCTGCTTTGGGGGTCCTGGGAGGAAGGGGTACCGCTAGCAGGGGGGGTGAGGATGGCATGTCATGGGGATCAGACATGAACATGTGGCAGGCAGAGGTGCAGGGCGGGCATTCTCTGTGATCTCAACAGCATGAGCTGAGCTAGGAAGTGGAGCTGGACAGGTAAGAGGTGAGTGAGGCAACAACCCATGGAGGGCTTTGATGCCAGCTGAGGCATTGGACATGTCCTACCTGTGATTGGGGGCCTAGAAGGGGCTGAGCTGGGTGTTGCTTCAGTGAAGTGTTAGGGGAGGCAAGGAGTCAGAAAAGTCCAGGTGAGGAGACTAATGGATGTCAAGGAGGGACATTTCTGAAGTAGAATAGGAAGGCTAAAGAAGCTGGTTGACTGAGGGGATGAGAGAGAAGCAGGAGTCTAGAACATTCATTGGGAGGCAGGTGGAGCAATTGATTGTCCCAGAAAACTTCCTTGTTGCATTTCTGATTTCCACCAGCAATCCCATCTCTCCTTCTCTTTGAGCATTAAAGTCCCAGGCATCTTCCTAGATGGTGAAGACCTGAGTGTGTTGCCTACCCCACTCCATGTCATGCCCTGACCTGGCCACCACATTGTGAAACCAGAAGTTGCTTGTGGAAGGAGTAAACAAACTAGTAATTAACTTTGTAGTGATTTCCTTGACTTGATTCAATGACTTAGGGCATTGAATTTCTCTAACAGGATTTCATGGCTGCTGAGAACAGAAGTAGGAGTTAGGAGCTACTTCTGGAAGAGAGATAGGCTTTGTCACAGTTCAGGGGCAGAATGTGAAGCAAGGCTTGTCGGGTAGAAGTGTGCGTGACCTAAAAGGAAGGGGATTGGATTGACTCACATCAGAATGCCCTGTTCCAGGCATGGGCTCAGTGACAGATGCCTACCCAGCTGAAAACAGGATTTGATACCATTTCTCATGTTGTTTTCCTCATTCTTATCTTGGCCCAGGAACTGCATTGGGAAGAATTTTGCCATGAAGGAGCTGAAGGTGGCTGTGGCCTTGACCCTGCTTCGCTTTGAGCTGGCGGCAGATCCTCTCCGAGTCCCTATTCCCATATCAAAAATTGTGTTGGATTCCAAGAATGGGATCCACCTGAAGCTCAGAAAGCTCCTCTAGTCCTTGTTGGGACAAGGGCAAGCTCTGAGGAACTCCTTCCTGCCCTTCCCTGTCTATCTCTCCATTTCCTGCTTCCCACCTGCCCACCTGCCCTTCCACCTGATGTCCTCCTTGCTGTCCTCTCCCTGTCTGCCCCTTTCTCTGTACTTTTCACTTTCTGCCTGCTTGTGCTTCTCTGGATTCATCTCCTTTAGCTGCTATAATAATTTACCACAGCTTCAGTGACTTAGAACACCACAAATTTCTTCTCTTAGTGTTCTGGAGTCAGAAGTCTGACATGGGTTTCACTGGACCACAACCCAGGTGTGGGCAAGGCCACCCAACCTCCAGGGCTCTAGGAGAGATTCCCTGTCTTTGTCTTTCCAGAATCTAGAACTGCATTTTTATATCTTTGGCTCCTGGAGTCATCCTGCATATTCAAATCCAGCAGCATTTTCAAATATCTTTCTGCTTCTATCTTCACATTGCCTTCTCTTTTATGAGGACATCTATGATTATATGGGCCACGCAGATAAAACAGGACATAGTCACACCTGGCAGGGAATAGGCCGTGGACATCTTGGGAGCCATTCTTCAGCCGAATTGGTCCCCATGTGACTACCATCAGTCTGCGTTCTGGTGGCCTTCTGTGTGTTTCCTACCCATTTGTCATCTCCACACCCTCTCCTTTTTCCTTCCTCCTTGGAATAAAGTTTACAATGTCACGTGATGTGTCTGTCTTTTCTTTATCTCCTTTGTCTTCCCTTTCCTGCCACATTTGGTGACTATGTGCTTGATGGTCCCCCTGACCCTGGGCTTTGTTCCCTTTCTACTCCACCAGCCTCTCTCAACCCAGGCCTGTTCTCTTGCTGATTCTGAACATAGGTCCCCTTCCTGTCCCATCCTATGTCATTTCTAGGTCAGGGTCCTGAATGCCATAGGCACACCTCCTGTTGTGATGGGATGCATTCATTTGCCTCCCTATACTGGGGAAGAATCTCTGATTCCTCATGTGGCCCCAGCCTGAGGTTCTTCCCCAAATTCCTTCTCTGCATCTCATACCTGGCTCAAGGCCTAATTCAGGCACCAACTTTCCAGAAAGCTTCCGTCTGTCATCCTACCACCTCCCCCAGCCAAAGCCCATACACCCAGAGCATGGGGTGACTGTGACACAGACATTTACAATGGCATGAGTGTCACAGATACCCATTTCAAGAGGTCATAAAACATACCTGTGAAATCATACTCCATATTCCTTGACCTTGGCAGTGGTTTCCTGGGTGCTTGCTTTAGAAATGTATTGCTCTATACATTTTTTTGCTTTTGGCAAATTCTCCATATGCTATTTTCCAAAAACACATACATATAGTTAAACAAAGACAGCCATCTCAGTTAAGGGGTAAGCCTCAAAAGGCATTCTTCTATCATGTGCAGTGAGTGAATGCCTGGTCATAACCTTGAATCCCACGGAACACCTTGCATTGCATTTGCCGTATCACCCAGGCTGGAATGTAAGTTTCTGCTGCATTTTAGAAAGATTGCAAATTATGGGAGAAAAAGCAAGATCCTAGAAACAAATAGGTGCTCACCACATTTGTTGAATGAATGAGTCAGCTCTAGACTACATGTATGATAAGCATTTATAGACACACATGTTTCCATGACTCTGCCCTGACGGTGACTCTGTATGTGGGTACCTACTCACCGTCTATAATACAAGCCTCCCAAAGACAGGAAGCCACAGCTGCTCCACAGTCTAGCCTGGAGGGAGCAATGTTCAGCGAGAGGCCACAACTTGAGCTATCTTAGGCCCTACTCTTGGCAGAACTACTTCTCAGTGCCTGAGCCCAGTGGCTTCAGGTGAAGGTAGATGCCATTCTTGGAGCGCAGGACCAGCTGCAGCAATTTGATGGGTGGCTGCAAGGGGTCCACGGCGAACTCAAAGCGGAGCAAGCAGAGGGCCGCGACCACCTTCATCTCGTTCATGGCAAACTGCTGCCCAATGCAGTTCCTGCAGTGAGCACATAAAGAGGCATTGGGCCGTGGAGTGTCTGGAGTGATGAAATCCAGTGTTCCCAGGGGCCAACAAAAATCAATAACGATGTTTGTATGAATCATTGGCTGGACTCAAGAAACAGAGCTTGGGAGCATAACAGGTCCCAGACTAAGGAGATCCACATTGGGGGTCTCTCTTGGAATGACTCACCCACCCCACCACCTGCTAGGGACATGAATATATTGATGGTAGGAAGAAGGTTCCTGGAACATAGCCAGCATTAGTATCACCCAGCATGCTTCCCCTCATCACAGAGTCCCCCAAAGTGATGCCTTGCCCACAACATCGTCCATCCTCCCCTCCCTAGTCCTGAGGACCTGGAAATTCTGGCATCTCCTTACCTTGGCCCAGCGGAGAAAGGCATGAAGGCAAAGGGGTGGCGTCCAGTCACATTCTCAGGGGAAAAGCGCAGGGGGTCAAAGACCTGAGGGGACAGGCCTTGCTTAAATAGCTGCCAGGTTCAGGGGCTGGGTGACCCCCACAGCCTCCCACCCCATTTGACCTCTGGGCCCAGAAATGAGGTACCTCAGGATCGGGCCACACTGCGCTGTTCCTATGGAGGGCATAGATGTGCAGAGAGACCAGGCTGCCTGTGGGCAGAGTAGAGGGCAGGTGACCAGGTGGTCCTGGGACAGCCAGGCCCACCTCCTTACAGGACCCGAATCCTCTCATGTCTGCCTAACTAGGCGCCAGCCCCTGCCTCAGCTCTGCTAGTGACAGAAGGTTTATGACAACCCTCAGCACATCACCGTGCTTATGATCATCATCATACCTATTTCCTGTAGCACCAGCACTGAGCACAGCACCCAACACAGACTTTCGTGGAATGGAACAAAAAGGACTAACCCAACACAAACAGGACAGGCAAAGACTCTTACACACTTTCTGCTATGTGAATGGTGCCTCCTGAAGTTGTTGAAGGTACTACCTGCGTGGTGGTACATGACAACCCTGAAATTAACCCTGTAAGGAAGGTGCTCTCCTCACAGCCATTTCACAGAGAAGGAAAAAGAAGCTTAGAAGTGGAGAAATTTGCCCATGATAAAGAGCCAGGATTGGACCCAGGCCAAACACAAAACACGAGTTCTCTGCCATTGTTGCAAATAGTGAGCCAAAGGCACAGCAAGTGTCAGAGAAGCATCCTCAAGGACTCCAGTTCCAGCCCCAAATCCACACCATCTCACCTGCAGGTAGAGAGCGACCATCCACAAAGCTCACAGGCTTGCTCAGCTGGCGGTACACCTGGGGCACGGGCGGGTAGAGACGGAGGCTCTCCTTAATGCACATGGTCAAGTAGGTCATCTTGCCCAGATCATCCCTGCCGGCAACACAACCAGTCTTTTCTGGAGATGGGGAGCCATAGGGCCCTGCGGGAAGGCAGGCTCCAGCCCCAACTGCCCCCCTCCACAACCATCACAACCCCAAGACTCAGAGGAACACAAGTGCACCAGGTGGTCGGGCCACAATGGACATGGGTTGGCCACTCAGACCCAGGGTTCTGACTCCACGTTTCTCTATCCCTCACTCATCTTCACTGCTGGGAGGGGAAAGCCCAGGACCCTAGAGGTGTGTGTGCACCCAGCCATCAAAGACAAGGTCACTCCTGTGTCTCTCAGAGCCCCACAGAAGCCTGTCAAGAGACAGTTGTTTGGGTTCTGCTTAGATTCCCTTCTGGAGCTGGAATGGAAAGGAACAGAAGCTAATATCCATTGGTTGAATGAAGTAATAAATGCATTAATAACGACAAGCTCAGATAAATATATATTTATTTTCCCTTTTGCCAGTAAGAAGCTCAGGCCCAACTGTGATGTCCAAATATAACTACTATGCAATACTTTATTACATAACCCCTAGGTTTTTGCCTCCAGTCCTCATTTTTTATTTGTGTTTTGCTATTTTATTGAATAAGTATCCTTTGAGTTGCTTCAAGTTCTAGATGGAATAAAGGAAAATAAAATAAATATTTCAACTCCATGCCTCCAGCCTGTGTTCACCTTGTTTCCCAACCTAGAATGCCCAGCTCTCTCCCTTTGCAGGAGTTTCACCCCTCCTTAGAAAGCCAACTTAAGCCCCACCCCTTCTGATTTCTTTGCCTGTAACATGGGGTCACTCATTCTTTGGTTTTCTCTAGCTTTTTAGTTATGTGAGTTAGTTTCTCTAAAATGTCCAAGGACAGCAAATTGGATCCTCTTCCTTCTCTTCTAACCCACACCCTCAACAGCACCTGACATGTGGCTGGACACCCTGGAAGATTTCCAACAGCCAACCAATAAAAATAAGCAATGGAGACTTCATCCTCTAAATCTTAGACCCTGGAATTGTGTGTCTCCCTCAAATAAATCTAAACTTTCTCCCATCAGCTGAGCATTTTCTGCACCCCTGCCCAATACGTAGTCCAGGTAATGACAAGAGGGGAGAAGGCAGGGAGAGAGGGATGTGGAGGCAGAGGTGTGAGAGGTTCCCAGAGAGCCTGCAGCAAAGAAAGGTCAGCATCAATAGTATTGAGTTAATGAGTTCAACTTGAACCAGGAGACAGAATAATTCAGTTTCTTATTGATGGAGTTTAGAAAACAGTATTTTCTCCTTCACCATAGGAGTCTGGAGGCTGCACATGACCATCCAAAGGCAGGTGAGAAGGGGTCAGCTCCCTTGGTTTTCCCAACTCTGTTCATCCTCAATTTGCACCTCTTTCTCTCCAGGAACCCAGAAAAGTAGTCAGGTTCTACCATCAGAATCAACACACAAGAAATTGGCCTCCTGTTGACCACCTTCTCTACATTACTCACATTGGAAAAGACCCTGCAGTTGGAGAAGGGGCTCTGGGGAGCATCCACGCCTTGCAGGTAACAAGACAGCTGTTGCTGCCTTCACCTGGTTTCCAGGGATGGCCCTGTGTCATCTGCGATGACATCAGACAGCATGGACACAGCCTGCAGCTGAGCAGGACAGACTGCGCTTCCCCGCAGACTCACTCACCACTGGAAGGAGTCCCTGTCTCCGAGGATCTCACGGACTTCCTCCCGACAGCGATGCTGGTGTTCTGGGTTTAGGGCCATGCAGTAGAGAAACCAAGAGATGCCACTGGTGGTGGTGTCATGACCTTCGAACATGAATGTGTCCACCTCCGCCCGGAGGTCTGCGTCTGACAGCTTGATCCCATTTTCATCCTGGGTTAAGGTAGGCATAATGGAGCAAACCAAGGCATGTGAGGTAGGGACCAAGAAGTACTCATACCAGCAGCTGTCAAATGAAGGTCTGAGGGAGGTTGTGAAAGCTGTGTTTCAGACTGAAAGTTAGAACCCTCCCCCAGATTTCTATCTGATCTCCCAAAATCATTTGGATGCATCCTATTCCAGGAAGCCTTTCCTGACCCCTCTGGCTAGTGACCTGCAACCTTACCCAGCCTGGACTGTTGATTCTGCTCATTTGAAACACAGAATGCCACCCAACAGAGGAAAAGATCTTTGTCAACATCCTTCTTCACTAGACTGTAAGCATCTGGAGGGTAGTGCCAGGTCTTCCTCATCTTCTGCATCCCTGGCACAGTAACTAACCCATTGCAGGGCTCAGTGAATTTATGGAGTGAATAAATGAGTGAATGAATGAAGTCTAAGATTCTAATATTCTAAGGTGCTGAGATTCTTCAGAGTCTTAGAAGTCTAGAATGGGTCTTTGGGCCTTCTGACATGTTACCCAGGGTCCCTGCCACTACATCTCTCCCCATTGCCACAGCCGGACACATCCTGCACCTCCCCACCTCTGAGCCTTTGCTGATGTGTGTCATGAGACTAGGAACAGATCATACTTACTGGGGAAAGAAGAGGAAAATGCTTAACACCCCCTGCAGCTGTCCAATGATCCTTGTCCCAGGAGGATGGTCTGAAGACCCCTCTGGGACCAGTTCTCAGGAGGAGCTGGGCAACTGTGCACTCACCCGAGCCCCCAGGAGAATGTCCAGGAAATCCAGGTGCCTCCGGTTCTGGATCTTCTTCTGTTCTTTCTCATCTTGTAGGGCTGCCTTTCGTTCCCTGATGACTTGATCTGGGTCAGAAGTATAGGGTGTCACTGCTTGGGGTTCATCCTCTGCCCCCAGGGGAATAGAAGTCCTGCATGAAAAACATCTCAGAGGGGCCCAGAGGAGCTAGCTTAGACCCTAGACTTCCTGTGGGCGGACCGTATGGGAAAGGCCCACCTGTGTGGTCATGGGCCACCTGGCAGGCCCTCAGGAAACGGCGGCCATGTGGAGTAAGCCAGTAGATGAAGTCGTCATGGTACTGTAAGGACGCTATGCGCTGCTGCATCAGCAGAGTGAGATCGCTGACTGCCAGGTAGTAGTTATGGTCCCTGCACAGCAGAAGAAGGGGGGGAGCACTTAGATACTGACCCACAGTAGAGTCTCGGCTGCCCCATTCCAGGAATCTAGCCCCAGCTACAGCGCTTTCTCCCTTACTCTCCCTGCCATTAAGCCTCCCCATTAAAGCTTGAATGTGTCTTCCCTGGGGCAAGACCCTGTCTCCTCTCGGACCAGGACCCAGGAGTCCTGCCAACTCTCCCCTCTGAGCTGGCCTGAGTTGAGACTATGGACAGCTCCAAGTGCCCTCTGACCTGTGGCCCAGGCCGCTGTTTCCTTTGCCAAAGGTGCACTTCATGAGTGTGTCCAGCGCCATGTGGCCCACATCACTGAAGATGTCAAAGCTCTTGTCCTTACGAGCCTTTTCCTCCCACTTGTCCTGGAACCCAGAGAAGGGAAGTAATGTGGGGGCCAGCAGGCTTCGTGTCCCATCCCTGCCCTCCAGGACCCTGCTGGAATGTGGGGGTGGGGCAGGTAGGGCTTCAGGCTCACAGGGCAGAACTAGGAGGCAGGCCTTGCACAGCACACAGACACATAGACACTTTTCTCCCTGTCAGAGCAGCCATTATATAAGGAAATTGAAGAGCCAAGAAAGAGGTGGTGAGCTGCCCAGCACAGTGAGTGTGTAAATCAGGCCAGCAGTGATGCTGGGGGAGGAGTTTTCTAAAGGGGAAAGACTACCCTGAATAACCTCTAGGGATTATCCAGCCCTGAGATGCTGAGCCTGACCCGGACCCCTGGCATGCTTTTAGAAATGATTTGTCAATGGTGTTGCTTTAGGCAGTTGTGGTAGAAAGAGAACAAGGAGACACTTTTTAGATATAAATGGATGTCCTCATATTCCCAAATATAGGCACCCCCTCCTGCTACAGTAGGAGCCTTGTCAGGTCCCACAGAGGCCCCTTGGTGTGGGAGAAATGGCTGGGTCTCCTGGTGGAGACAGGGGCCAGCGATGCCTGGCCACATGGAGCTCCACACCTAGTGAGCAGCCAGCAGAGAAAAGGAGTCGGCATAACAAGGTTTGGCACTGCTCCGGGCAGGAAGGACCTCAGTGCCTCAGCAATTCTCCTCGCTGCTCTCCTCCAGGGGAAATTGGGGTGGGGAGGGGCTGGCCAACAGCACAGCCTCCTAGAGCTTGGCATGTGGAGCTCACCAGCATGGTGTGTGTGGAGTCGGCAAACACCTTCACATAGGGCTTCAGCACATCATAATGGAAGCCAGGTGTGAGCAGCTTGCGGTGCTGGAACCACGTGGGCCCATCCAGGACCAGCAGGCCTTTCCCTGGGGAAGGGATGGGAGAGGGAGGGCTTGTCAGTGCACACCATCCGCCCCATCTCTGGCAGCCTGGGGCCAAGCTGACCCCACCTCACCCACCCCAGTCCTCCCCACCCAGCCTCATCTCCTGACCCAGCTCTGCCTTCCAGCCACGCAGCCTCTAGTAACCCCAGCCATGGGCCCACCACCATACCTTTTTTCAAGCCCTTACTCTGGCCAGCACCATCTGTAATATCTCCTAGGATCAACTCTAGTGCCACCCTCTCCTGAGTACTATTCCTTACATTCAGATTTTCCAGATCCCTTGCCCTGCCTTTCCAGGGGAGAAGACACCCAGAAGGAGAAGGTACCTGGGCCCTACTTCCCTGACTACCCAGGAACTCTCCTGCCTCCTCCCTGTCTTCTCCTCACTGAGCAGATGAGGTTAGGAACTGCACATGGGACCAGGTGGTCCAGTGGATGAATAACTGACTGAGTGGGAACCGGGCAGGGAAGGATCCTGGTCACCCAGCACCAAGGGCAGGGAAGGTAACCACTTACCAATCCACTGGAGGAAATAGTTATACACATCTGGGGCCTTCGGGTCTGTAGGAGACAGAGAAGATTAGGTAAAGCCAAAACTGGGAGATTCCTAAAAGAGGCTTATTGGTAAGCAGGATGTGAACTTCATCTGCGCAGATTTAGGGCTCAGACCCAGGACTCCTCCCCGTATGGTGTCTTTGGTCTCAGGAAGTACCCCCTTCTTCCAAGAATGCTCACCCCCTCGGCTGTACACAGCTTTGGCGTAGTCAGGTTCATAGATGTTCAGGAAGCCAAGAAACTGTCCAAACCAGAGTGGGTGGGCGTAGGGGAACTGATGAGCCCAGGATACCACCTTGTCCAGGCTCCCTGTCTGCTGTATCTGTAATGGTGACAGAAGGCCAGGCCGTTCAGACACCTGACATTACTAGCCATGCCCCAAGTCCCTGAGCCTGCCCTCTCCTAGCCTGTCACTCAGTCCTATCGATCTCTGGGCCCAGGTGCCTCTCCAGACCCAGAGCCACTGCTTTAAGTCCAAGCCACCTACTTGCACCTGGGTTAGCTCAACAACCCCAAATTGGCCAACCTGCCTCCACCTGGTGCCACCACCCCTCTATCTAAACTGCAGCCAAAAAGAGATTTTTTTTTCAGCATTGAAGCTTTTCATTAGAAAGATAATACTAGCTTGCTGTGCAAGAAGGAAACCACCTTAATTCCAGCCCTGTTAAATCACTTGACACATTTTTATTGAGGACCAATTATGTGCAGGGCATTGTTTAGACATCTCAAGGGAATGAGGCAGACATGGTCCTGCCCTTTCATTCTATGGGGAAGACTGATAAGAAACAAGTAAACAGTTAAGCGGAATGATTCAGACAAAATAGTAAGTGCTAAGAAGGAAGTAAACACTGTGCTACACAGGAGACTAATAGGGAGATCTGCTTGGATAAGAGTGATCCAGATGGGCTCTCTTTGGAGATGACATTTAAGGTGAAGCTCAAAGGATGATAAGGAGTTGGCCATGTGAAGAGTAAGGGAAGAGCATTCTAGGCCGAGGGAACAAGTACAGAGGCTCTGGGGTGGGAAAAAGTATGGTGTCTTCCAACAGCTGCCTCATGTGGAACAATGACTTGAGATGAGGTTGGAGAGACCAATCAGAGCATGTTGTGTGCTCTCTGGGAGTTTCTCTAACCACACCTACTCACACAGAGGTGTTTATGTAAAAATGGAGTATCCAATAAACACTTTTCCAAACCTGCCCTTTTTTTCATTTAACGTATCTTGTCCTTCTTTTCAAACTAGTGCAATTTACTGTCCCTCAATATTTTTCACAATTACATGGTATTCCACTATAAGAATGTATCATTATGCATTTACCCATTTTTCCTATTTTGAGAGGGTCTTTCAGACCCTTCAGAAGCCTGGCCATGGGTCTCAGAATAAAGTGTGAGTTTCATTATTTGTGAGGAGGCATAGCTAATCTTTATTAAGCACTTGCTGTGTGCCAGGCCTTCTTCCACACACCTTGCATCTTGACCTCATCCAATGCTTACAAGTCGCCCTAGTTGGTTTTGCTCAGTGGATAGAGCGTTGGCCTGCATGTGGACTGAAGGGTCCCAGGTTCGATTCTAGTCAAGAGCCCATGCCGTGTTGCAGGCTTGATCCCTAGTAGGGGGCATGCAGGAGGCAGCCAATCAATGATTCTCATCATTGATGTTTCTATCTCTCTCTGAAATCAATAAAAATATTTTTTTAAAAAAACAAGTCTATGAAGCCCCATTTTAGGGAAGAGGAGCCTAAGGTATAGAGATCTGAGGTTGCTTGCCAAGGACTGCACAGCTTGTAAGGGAGCGGGGATTTGAATCAGGAAAGTTGACTCCCTGGCCAGCAATCTTCGGAGATTGACAGACCTGAGTTTGAATATGGATTTCCCCTACTTTTTTTAAAAATATATTTTATTGATTTTTTACAGAGAGTAAGGGAGAGGGATAGAGAGTTAGAAACATCGATGAGATAGAAACATCGATCAGCTGCCTCCTGCACACTCCCTACTGGGGATATGCCCGCAACCAAGGTACATGCTCTTGACCGGAATCGAACCTGGGACCCTTGAGTCCGCAGGCCGATGCTCTATCCACTGAGCCAAACTGGTTAGGGCTCCCCTACTTTTTAATGTATGTGAATTTGGGCAAGTTTTTTAGGCTCTCTGAATCTTGCTCTCCTCATCTGTAAAATGGGGATGACAATACTTAGCTTATAGGATTGTTTTGACATTAGTGAAATCATGCAGGTGCATGTGTTATTGGATGAGGTCGTGTGACATTCAAGGACCTAGAGCTGGATCCTGCACAAGGTGAGCCCTTGAAAAATAGTTCCCTCCTCTTCATGCCTACTTTTCCCCAAGCCTCCTCCCTGCATCTCCTGACACATCCTACTCCCAAATGCCCACAACTACACTGGAGAACGTGCTCTGAACATGCCCTAAGATATTTCCACCTTTGGATAAAGGCCTAACCAAACCTTATCCCCTGTTAAACAGAAAACTGACGTTGGCTTACATTCTGCAACTCTGTCCCCCTGGACACTTGATACCTGTGGGCCACAATTTGAGCCATGGATTCTCAGCAGCGTCAGTTGTGATTTGGTGGGCTGTTGCTCTGGGGTGGTGGCGGGGCCTATGTCCCACTTGGGGGAAGCCAAGTGTTGCTTTGTGGGGACCAGGTCCATGGTGCTGTTTGTCTGTGAGCAGCATGGCAGCTCCAGCATTGAGCACCTGCCTCCTGGTGGTCAGTGCGTGTCATAGAAACCGGTCGGAAGGTGGGAAGGACACTATATTAGCCTTTTATACTAGACTAGAGGCCCAGGAACCCGACTTGCTTTATAGCCAGGTGCATGAATTCATACACTGGCCACTAGTAATATTATAATTGGCCATCATTGAGCATTTAATGTGGTTGCGTATTGCACTAATCCTGCTCTACAAATTTTTTCATTTAATCCTCAGAAAACTCTACAAGATAGACACTGTCATAATTCCCACTTTATAGATGAGGAAAAAAAGCTTGGTCACATGGCAAGGTAGCAATGGAACTAGGATTCACAACCAAGACCCCTGACTCTACTCTGGCTGTGAGTTTCCCACGTGCAGAGGTACATCTCCAGGTGACATCTCCAGGTCACCAAGGGCCTCACCACAGGGAGCTTGGATATAGTACATACTTGATAAAGTGCATGTTGAGTGAATTGAGTAAATAAAGGAAATGAAGAAAAAGTAAGGCAGGAAAGGAGGGGAGAGAGCACACCAAGCATCTGACTAATGTAAACACTGGCCAAAGTCAGTTACACTCCTGAGGTACCAGCCCAAAGTCTTGCTCAATGAGAACAGGCAGTTTGGCAAACAGCTGCAGATTTTTATTTGTTTTTCCCAGCACTAAGCTGCCTGCTCTGGCTAATGTCCAGATTTGCTGCTTATTTCTGCATTCTATCTCTTAACATAGGAAATGAAAGGGAACAGAAATGAATTAAGTATCTCCTATATGTCAGGTATTATGTGAGTGAATTCATAGATTGTCTCATGCAGAATGGGTAATTACTCCCATTTTACAGATGAGAAAACTAAGGTGCAGAGATGTGAACTGATTTGTCCATTTCTTGTAGGTTAGTGCTGCTCTAACTCAGATGAGAGCCCCTACATCAAGCATTTCAAACTCGTGGCCCACAGGCCACATGTGGCCCACAATGAATATTTTTGCGGCCCAGCCAATATAACAGTATATAAGAAATGTTTTTTAAAAAATTTCATAACTTAATTTTTACAATTGCCTGTTATACATAACTACAGGCCCGGTGCATGAAATTCATGCACTGGGGTGGGGGGGGAGGGTGTCCCTCAGCCCAGTCTGCACCCTCTCCAATCTGGGACCCCTCAGGGGATGTCCAACTGCCAGTTTAGGGATTGGGCCTACACCGGCAGTCGGACATCCCTCTCACAATCCTGGACTGCTAGCTCCCAACCGCTCGTCTGCCTGTCTGCCTGATTGCCCCTAACCGCTTCTGCCTGCCAGCCTGATGACACCCTAACCACTCCCCTGCCAGCCTGATCGATGCCTAACTGCTGCCCTACCAGCCCGATCGCCCCCAACTGCCCTCCCCTGCCAGCCCAGTCCCCCCCAACTACCCTCTCCTGCCAGCCCAGTTCCCCCCAACTGCCCTCCCCTGCTGACCTGGTCACCTCTAACTGCCCTCCCCTGAAGTCCTGGTCGCCCCTAACTGCCCTCCACTGCTGACCTGATCACCCACAACTGCCCTCTTCTGCCAGCCATCTTGTGCCCACATGGGGGGGGGGGGGGGCCA